TTTATTTTTGCATTTTGTTGGATTGATATCATTGCCAGTTAGAGGTTTAGATGGCTGCATAAATTATAGCCAATGGCAAGCTTCTGGTTGTCCTCTTATCAGTAAAATGCTCAAAATGTGTAAATAGGGGATTACTTAAGTTTAAACCATTCAAACCAATCAGCAGATCAAATTTTACTAGATTCAGTGGGCATATTGGTTCAAGATGGCCGGGAAGTTATGATCGCTGCTCTAATAAGCAAAAAGAAAAAAAAGGTTTTATTGATTATGTCACATTTGAATGAGATCTAGCTATATCAGTATTCATTCGCAAAATCAACCTTTAAATGCCTACAGTTTCATTTTCTGCATCGTTCAATTTGGTATGTAACTTCAAAGAACTTATATAACTATGTCAATGAATAACCCACATGCATTAATATAATAAAATTCTCCAGTAATTTGAACATCAAAAGAATAATTTGTTCAAATGATAACTACCAGTAAATGTTCAAACACATGTTTATCATGTCATAATACAGAAATAAGTCATTGATTTGCATACCATTTAAAATAGAAATTCCAAAAACTACCAACATATGAATTTGATATAATCAGCAATCTCAAGATGGACAAAAATAATTTCAGACCAGACATTATAAAATTGCAGATTCACAAGTCCACAAGAAGTTGCAAAGGCTGATGCAATGTTCAAATAGATGGAAATGCCATATTTTGAATGCTTAAGCACCATCCTGAAAGTCAGCAGCACAAACATGAATATTACTGAGATACTGATGAGCAACTAAAATTCACATAAATTTTGGGACTACAAAGTTTGGGGCTGACTTTAGGGTCTAAATAAGCTGTCATGATGGTGGTAGCATCAATACAACAAAACTAAAGATTGGTGAAGAAAATTATAGTTTATAGAAGTAATTTGAATTAATAAACGTGTTAAATAAATGGAATCTAGCACTCTTGAAATAAAATAGCATAATTGAACCTTATATTAATGTCTTTCATGCCTCATACCAAGTGGTGCACCAAAGCTTTGAAGCAATCGGATCATGGATCTTGCATCCAAGCGCTTTCGAACTTTTTTTCCAACCAATACTTGCAAGTTCGGAGTATCAAATACCTGCTAACAATTGTTTGAACAATTACATAGAAAGGAAGCATGATGATCATGTAATTATCAGAATTCTGAAGAACAAAAAAGGGTTTGAGATTATAGAAGCTACTCTTTGCAGCACAAGTATGAAACTTGTAGTTAGTCCTAGCAGTGGCCAGCTTCATAAAGTGATCAAGAAATATCTTTACAAGGATTAAATATGTTGTATGCCCAAGTTCAAGGCAATCATCCTACCGAAAAATTGAAAATTATCTTTGCAGACCAAATGTTAGATGTCACATAAATCCAAAAGGTTAATTGTTAGGTTTGCGCATTTTCGAATAAGAAGTTGCTAAATGGAATAGTTCAAAAATGGCCCTTATATCTCTTACCACAAAAGCTGTTCATATCTTGCTTTTTTTTCTTTCAATTTTTGCCTTAGAGATAAAGTTAACTGTGTGTCTTAAATACTACTTTAAGTTCTCTTCTGTTTTCTTTTTTTGGGGGGGGGTGGTTTCCTAAGGAAACAATGGGGTGTTGCTACATGGAATACACTCAATAAACCAGGTTATCTCCTCACATGATTAACCTCAAACAGTGTCAACCCATCTTGTGCTAAAAGTTGCTCCAAAGCTTGTTGGTCAAAGGCCTGAAGCTTTTCATTTCTAGTCAGTTAAGAGACCAAATGTAATATATTCTTTGGCTTTCTTATTCATGCTAAAGGTAATCCAGCAACTTGTCCAAGTTATAGACAAATTGGAGATTTGATAGAACTAAATCAGAACTTGAAAATGCAAGGGAGTATTTGAACCCTGTTGTAATGTCTGAGCCTTCAGGAGGAAAATAATGACACTTCAAATTTATAAATCCACAATTAATTTCTTCATTGAAAATACACGAAAAAAATAGAAGAAGATATATAGGGTCCAAACAAATCACTAATAAATCTAGTGTCCTCTAAAAAACCCCAAATTATACCAGAAACTAGCATGCCTAATTCTAAAATTTCACCAAATCCATATGCAACCCAAAACTACTAGAGCTATAGGTCACTTGCTCAACCAATGTGCCTGAATTATTTTTAGTATTAATATATCTAACTGTATACTAGACATGCCATTTCTTTTGGTTCCCACTACAATTTACAAGATAGACAAAGAACTAGCCGTTCTACTCTGCCGACAGTTACATCATATGCTTCAAACAAAACACTAAAAGGACCATCATTAGCACATGCATCCAAAATTCCAGCTTCAGCATGATTTCATGGTATTTAGGAACATGGAAAAAATGATTCCCAAAAGGGACAAGCAAGAGCCTGCCTTGGGTTACTAACCTGAGCAGAATAACCAGAACCATCGGGTTTCAGGAGAGCCACAGCTCCCGAAATATCAGGGTCGATACCGACGACCCACTCGGCGTCCGAATCGCTCTCAATCTCCTCGTCGGCAACGGGCACGATCTGCCGGAAGTTCTCCGAGAAGGGGAAGGAGAGGGAATCCAGCCATTCCTCCTTAAGCAAGGCATCCGAAGCCCTGGTCCTAACCCTAGCGGACAAAGCGAGGCCGGACCCCCTTCTCCCGCTGCCAAGCAGCTGCTCAGCACTGCTGAAACCGAGGGCAGAGGCGCAGAAACCCCGGTGGTTGAGAGCGGCGGAGAGGACTTTGGATCGGAAGGCGGAACAGAGAGTCCTCATCGAGAGGGGCGTTGGGCGGGAGAGGCGAGCTTGTGGGCCAATTTGGATGGTCGCCATAGCCAAGAAGCAAGCCGGCTGGAGTGGTCCAGAGGACTTTCTCGCGTGCCCCTCCCTATTTTCACTTTGTTTTCTTACCTCCCATATCTCCATATTAAATATATAAATAAATATATATATATATAGATATATCCATAAAATTTTAAATTAAATATATAAATCCTTATAAAATAAAAAAAGAGCTAATCTTTGTTGATTGATAACTTCAATTGATATTAATTTTATTTTTAAAAATATTATATAATAAGTAAGCGATAAAGACAAGATTTAATCCTAAAAGAATTGATATTCAGAATATCGTCATTAGAATAATATTTCACATATAAATTTGTAAGATATAGTCTTTGATTGTCAAGTGGATCCCATCATAGTATATATAATATAATATATATATTGCTATGAAATTAATATTTTCTACATTTACCGTACTAAAATTAAAGCTCAGTGAAAGAAGGTTTCAAGGGGGTCAAGAATAAGTTACTAGGTTTAATCTCAATTCAGATGCACATTCCAGATTTCCTGAACCCTAACACACATGAAGGACAAATTAGCCTTCAACTTCCTACAGACAACTGACTGAAGGTTTAGATATTGCCACAATTCTCATTTAGAATTGACCCCACCAAAGCCTTGTTTTAAGGCTTTTTCCAATCGTTGAGGACGAAAAGAAGGTGACGCAACACCTCCTTATATTCCCATGCCTTCAGTCCTCAGTCACCAAGCCAAACTGCTCTTTCTTGCCATATGGAGGTCGCAACTTCTCCCGAGCCAACAATGCTCACCGAGTATCCTCCTAACAAAGCTCCGTTTCATCTCACTCCTCTGTGCCTCTACTACGTATCCTCACCATCGCCAGAATCCAAGACCCGATTTGGCGTCGACGATTTCGAGTTCGGACACCATGCGGAACTCGAGGCTTCTTGTTACTTAGAGCAGCGACAGCAGCAGCAGCTCATGTCGTTTGCCGATGAGCTGTTTCACAGTGGGCGGCTGCTGCCGCTTAAGCTCCCACCTCGTCTGCAGGCGATCAACAGCGGGAGCTGCAGTCGACGAAGCTCGTGTGCGACTTCGCCCACCTTGCTCTCGGGTTCGGCGTGGAAGGCGGCGAGCCCATTTGCGAGGCGCGGCTCGAAGGGGAAAGACGTCGATCCCTTCGCGGTGGCCTTGGAGAAAGTGAGGCAGGAAGACACCATAAGGAGGGGTCGAGCGTCCCCCGGGAGGAGGGCTCGATCGTTGTCGCCTCTAAGAACCTCGAGTTGGCTTCAAGGACCACCAGGCACTGAATCGTCATCGGGAACAAGAACAAACCAATGTCTAGACTTTGGGACGAAGATTGATGGGCTTGCGAAGTCTACTTGTAGAGGACCCGGGAAGAAGGTGAAGAACAAGCATTTCGTGTTGACGAGGACGTTAAATCCAAAAGAAGCCGACAATGGCGGGTTGAGGGGCTGGTTGAAGGAGGCGGTCAAAGCGATGAGGAAGAAGCCCTTGGCAAATTGGCATGGGCCTTTTGCGTGCTTCGGGCATAATCTGTAGACGATCATTGCTCTAATGCTAAACATGTACGACTCCATCAAGTGCCAGATTGATCAGCCGTCCCATGTTTAGTTGTTGCGGAAAGAAAGATAAATAAAGATCGCCGAATGGTACTTAAAAGCAGGTGCTAGGATTCGTTGGTATGTAAAATGTATAACCTGAGAAGCAGCTGCTGCTTTTGGTCAATCATGAGAGCAGAAGTAGCAGTTCAGCTGCAAAAACCTGATGGATAACCTAGCGTCAGCAAGATAATGGATAGTAGAAACGAAGCAAGAGTATGATACAAAACGTCAGAAATAAAAACAAACAACAAGCTCCTTATCCACTACGCTTGGTTATAAACTTCTTTGGACCGAAGTTTTGTTCCTAGATCAGCAAGTAATGAGTTCAACATAATGTAAGAAGTGTTCAGGTCTATAAATTTACATCATGGTGAGGTCATCGATAGTGATTCCGTAGCATCCATATTAGACAATGGGATGCAGCCTTATACAATGCAGATCGATGTACAACATTGTAAAGTTCTGATGAATGATTTCTTGGAACTGCTAAAGAAAAAGGAAATGCAGTAAGAGAACCTAATTGAATTCTCACACTGGAATTAATGGTCACTCTGCGGGTTCCTTTTCTCCTTGTATCGTGGTGTTTTGCTGGGTGCTACAAACTCATACGTGTGACTCCATACATCATTTACCGAGTCTGTGCTTCAAGGAGGATGTTGGTGGCTACATTTATGTCGTTTCTAGCCTGCATGAGTGCCTGCCTGGCAGCACTGCTGTTGAAGCCCATTGATACCAACATAGCAATGGAAGACTCTGGTGGCTCTGGCATCGGAATATGTCCCACTGAAGGATAGTTCTGCTGCATCACAATCAAGAAGACAAACCACTCAACGTTAGTGCAAGTCATCGAGACCAAGCTGCAGTTACCTATACAAATACTTCTCACCACTCAACAATTTTTTATCAGATATCTATCTAGAGAGTGAAAAAATAATTACAGCCAAAGTAGGAAGACCAGCATCTGTAATGCTTAATAAAGATGAGTGCAAAGATCTTCAGAATGCTGTAGAATTTCCTATACAGAAAGAGACAAGTCCTCTTACCGTTTCCTATGTCAAATGCACATTTCTGCATACCAATGAGGACCTGTGCTGTACAAATATTTTCGCAGATGATTGAATAATTTTCTTGTGTATACTAATCTTACCATTCCCTATGTTGGATGAGCTTTTGTACAAACAAGCTGGAGAACAATTTAGTTACAGATGGTTAAATATTATTCTTTTATTAATAAATCTTCCAGTTCCATAAGGATTTTCTTCACATATTTTCTTTTATTATATATATATACATATACATATATACATATATACATATACATATATATATATACATATATACATATACATATATATATATATAACTCCTTGCTTTAAATCACTATGTCTAGATTTCACCAAGTGAAGTTTGAGGAACAGTACTCTCTATCCTAAGTTCTTTCTGATGATTCAATGCCAGAAGCAGCTCTTAAAGAGAATCGCTGCATACGTAAAAAGATAAAAGCAGCAGCAGCCAATCCATTTAACACTAAAACATCCCCTTTTGCAGCACCCATAGCTCAAATTTCATAGGCGACAAGTAAGCTCATGATCACATATTCTGAAGATAGAAATGCATATGCCATTCTTCTGATCATATTAAGATAAATCTTTTACTTTCAGATTGCAGTATGTCTTCCTACCAACACAAGATTTATGTGTATGTCATGACTGATAGATAAAGAGTATTTACATGCAGCTAAAAGAATGCCTTTAGTTAGTTCAACATCATTAGCTAGAAAACCAAGATCTGAGAAACTAAACCAGTAAATAGCTCTGTTATACAAAAAAAAAAAAGCTATTGCAGCTTCTAGATGGGCTGAGAAGTCATATATTAAAAACAATCGCTGGCTCTTGGCAGATCCACGCTATATTGTTCTGAAAGAGTTAACTGCAAAATGCTAAATATTTCCAACTAAACCAACGGAAAGCTGACTTGTTAGTGTTATGCTTCCAACCCCACGGGTGAATCTAGGTACATGCATAATAATGTGTAGGGGTCCATTGGTCAAAACAGGTTGGACTAGGTCAAGTGCATAGGCAGACAGCAATTACAATTGTCAGAGAATGTTCAAGGAAAGAATGAGAAGAGGCTTGGACAAACCTGACGGCCAGCATAAGGCACATGTGCATTTCCTCTGATATTTGGTCTTGATGCGTGTGATGAACTTGCTGAAGAGAAGAATAACCTTGAAATCACTGAGGTTATTTTTTTGGGGAACTGCATATAGATCGAGTAAAGGAACGATCAGGAATTGAACAGCCAATAAAAATCAAGCTAAATGAGATGTCAGAGCATTTCAAAACTATACAATGGAAAACACAGCTTAGCAAAAAAATGAAGTTTGCATATTCAAGATGATTCAAAATTATGATGCCTTAGAAAAGGTCCAAGACAAAACATATTACTCTGAAAGCACAAATGTGTTTAAAGCATTCGCATCAAACTTCATTAGGATTGAATATAACCATTCTTGTTGATTTCTGCTACTTTGGCATTCATAATTTTCTCAGTTCCAGTACACTTTATCTTGGCTTACTGTGAATGGGACTCACTAAAATAGCTAGATATAGCTATCATAAAATTAGAACAAATAGAGACCTAAGAAAGATTTTCCAGTCAAACTTTGTCAACACTTTGTACTTAGCAAGTTGAAACTATAAGTGTAACAAACTTGCACAACCTATAGTTACTAACTGCAGAGCCTGATGATAATAGGCTAGAGTTTCCTACTTCAGAGATAGCAGTGATTGTAAAACGCCACTAACTAGCAATGAAATGCAAGAAACCTATCCTAAGTAACCATTTCTCCAAATACCCATCATCCTTATAAAAATAATATAAAGGGGACATATATTTGTACGGATCATACCTCAGTTTAAATAACAAAATTTAGATAATTAGCAAAAAAACATATCAATGAGAATTTTTGCTAACAATTACACTGAAATTGTTATAGGTATTTTAGGGTCAAGTCAAGTGTTAAAATCAGTTTAGATGTTTGTTTATCAAATATCATTAAATAGTTATACATCAAAAACATTGATCCACAAACATGTCTTAATTGGGTAATGAATTGTAACTTGCTGCCATAGTGCTTCCTGGGGAGATTTGGTTTAAAATTTAACAAAACATCAACAACCAACAGTGGACAATGTTTGAAGTTTCAGCAAAATGAATAAGTTTTTGATTAAGTAGACCATTTTTGTTCAACTAAGTAACTAACACCAAAATGCTCAGTCTGGGACACCAGCCGGTTTCTACTGATATCTGCCAAAGCTGATGTCTGTTGTATTTTCAACAAGCCAACTCCTCAAATACTCTCAATTATAGCTCGGTTTCATTGTTAGTATTTAGTTTGTGATAGGAACCCAAACACTTTGTTGAACTATGATGTATTGTATATGGAGAATATTGTCCAACTATGCACAA